GCGCTCAGGTCATGAACTAACACTTTCCACATGCCGGGCATGAACTAAGGCCTTTCGCGCTCAGGTCATGAACTAACACTTTCCACATGCCGGGCATGAACTAAGGCCTTTCGCGCTCAGGTCATGAACTAACACTTTCCACATGCCGGGCATGAACTAAGGCCTTTCGCGCTCAGGGCACGAACTAACGCTTTCAACATGCCGGGCATGAACTAACACTTTCAACATGCCGGGCATGAAGTTCCAACAAATGACCCTTGCGGCATGACCTTACTAAAATGCTCGCAAAGCATCTTTGGGTTAATAACCAAGACACCACAGGGCTACCAACAGGACAACTATGCATGCATGCTGATGCATGCTAGTTTTTCACATATCAGGGCATTTTAATAAAAAACGCATGCCACACCCATATTCTTGTCATATCTTGATGTCAGTTTTGCACATGTCCTCAACCAGCAAAAATAAAGTCTGTGTAATAATGGCGACTTCATAACCTGTCAAAACTTATCAATGCAGCATGTTCCGCAAAATTCCATGTCATGCAGTAGGAATATACTGTTACGCTTTAAACATTTTACTTTCTAACCCATTTTTTTCTTCAGTCTTCTATCTATTCTTCTCATCCCTTCAGATAACGGATAATTAATGGTTCCTTTCGTACGTCAGGGTGTCTTATTTTGCCTTGCCGCAATAGGTTTTATGCCGTATTTATGTCTATTATCAGCGAGAGACATCTTCTTGGATTTGTTCTGGAACAGTCATATTATTCCAGATAATCATTGAGAACAATCAGATATTCAGGCAGTGTTTAGTCTTAAGATAATCAGACTRATGGAACTTCAGTGCTCATGAACATTAACACTACCTAATGAATGGACAGCAATTAATTAACGCTTAATCAAGCAAACGTTTGAGTACTTCACACCCTAAACCCGTAGAGATAAATAGTTATAATGATGACCCAGACAATATATCACTTTAAGCAAGGAAACAGACTGACCTTAAGGTGAACCCAAATAAAAAAAAACTAGAATAATGATTAGAAAGACTAAGTCTTGACGCAAATTCCCTCACGTCTAATCTCAAACTGTGTTGCAAAAACTGAGCCAAGCTGACTTSCTACTARCTGGAAAGTAGCCGTCAATTCCAAGGACTAAAGATTATCGCTTCAGGTTTATCGTGTATGTAAGCAATATGTGTRCAATGTCCTTTGTGAATGGTTTTTAAGTCAGTATCTCTTTTCTTTCAGCGTGAAGGCTTACAAAGAATAAGTGGTATCTCTATWTAGTAGTGAATCAAGCAACGAGATGTATTCATTCATTTTTCTGTGTTGTTTTGTAGTTGGGAATACGGTAAGATGAATATAGAAGGGTTTGAAGCCATACTTAAAAACAAATTAGCTTTCAAATCCTTCAGRCGCTCATCGGAATAAAAGATCTGGATCTAAAGTAATGACATAATGACGAGATGAGAATATCAAGTGTGTATTATTTGTTATTCCTAGGGAAAGGTAATGGATAAAAAGCAGCATACAGGTAAAAGMCGTTTAATGGCTAGTTTCTTGAATGATCACATTGCATTCTTGTTAAAATTACTGTATTTACGATACTATTCACAATTTCTGTTAGAACGAAATAATTTACTAGATCTTTATGAGAAATACATCGCCAATTCAAGCGACATAAAAGGAGTTTGTGTCTAATTATCATAGCTGCCAGACTTAACAGGAAATTGAGACAGTCAACCAACCCGACAGGAACTAATACATTTCTAATGAAACGCCCAACTCTAGGACAAGTTGATTTAGGTTCTATGCATGGTTTTATTCCCCATATCATGCAGAAGACAAGTGTACTGCCTTGGCCTGCAATGCTGGCCAAGACTGCATCAAGTCAAATAACGCTCAATTCAAATGCCAGTGCAAGTCSAGTTGTTCGAGCCATCGTAAGCCAGTGTGTGGGTCGGATGGAATTACGTACCGTAATCATTGCGAGTTACACCGAATTGCTTGCGTCAGTGATAAGCGGATTGGAATCAAACACAAAGGACCTTGTCCAAAAGGTTAGCAATAGTTAGAATACTATAAAGTCTCGTAGTAGTCTCGACCCTTTCTTATGATGATCTATCGTGTGTTTGTTTTTTTGTTTGTTTTTTTTGTTTTAATCATTTTTCGTGAATGTAACGGACTTTCATTAGTGAACTGAAGAGGTTTTTGAACTAAACTAGTCACTAAATCTATCGTATGATCCGTATACGTTTTAGACTTTACCTTAAACAGATTTATACCATTATTAATTTTTTGTTGATTTTTTTTGTAGAAATGTTGCTAACTTCAAASCATAAGTTGCAAAAATCTAAACCAGGTATGCTTGTGTTTAATTGTATTATTCTACCGCGAACTATTACTGCAGTCACTGCCGTTCGATGAATCGTTTTTTTTTTCTTTGAAACGATGTAGTGTAGTGTAGTGACAAAGACTCTTATCGCTTCCCAATTCCCGCAGCCCTTCGTCCCTCCTCAAGAAAAATCATTTTTGACTTATTTTTCATATAGTTGTTTGCTATGAACAAAATCGAAACGAAATGCGCGAAAGACTTATTAAGTGGATGCTAATCATGGCTAGACTACTGGGAATCAACCGTCAAAATGTCTTTTGGAATTTCTTTAATGGAATGGATGCCAATAAAAACGCCAAGCTTGACAGAGAAGAATTTCTACAGCTTGTCAAATCAGACGAAACGGTTGCTAAGGTAACCTTAGTTACTCTTGCTATGACTGTTAACGATGTGGCGCTATAGTAACTAAAAAGTAAAGTATTGTTTTGTTTTGCCATTACAGATTCCTGGAGAAGACAACTACATCAATCCAATCCTACAACCACTTTGCTCTGTTGCGTTATTTAATCTCATTGATCTCAACAAAGACAGACAGCTTACTTTTAATGAGTTTAAGCATTCTTTGGATCCTGGTAAGATTAATCCACAAGGCTTAGTGTAAATTAATTGTCTACTCTGTGAAAGTAAGTGTATTAACCAAGAAAAAGTAACACTTTTTTTCTAATTGTGATCACTACAGATTTCAAGCCACCACACAAACGTGAGTAAATAATGCAGATTTCATGCAATTCACAAATGGTCAATAATACCTTCGTTAAAATGTTGTTTTTTGTTCTAGAGTAGTGATGCAAATCACTACTCTAGATTTGAAACTCGGATTTGAAACTTGCTTACTAGAAATGAAATGAAAAACTCGGTCATAAATGCAAGATTTAATTCACAATTTCTCGATGCTTAGTGAAATGTCTAGGTGCCTTGTGGTTATTGAGCTGTCGAAGAGATATTTGTTGCGAATATATAGTACTTGAGATTTTTTAAAGCCATTCAAAAATGATTCAAAATGTAACGGKGCGATCAGCAAATGATGTCCTTACCTTAATCAAGTTGTTAAATTGTGGAAAGTATGATCTCGACAGGATTGTGTTTTCATGGGTTTCTGCGGAGATTGTAGAGGGTTACAGTCATTCACAACACTGGCAGCATTTGACTATTTTGCTCAAACGTCATTTCTGTTGCTTATTTTCCATGCCTATTGATCGTTTTCAACCATTCCCATGAGATTCAAAAGATTAAAGACCGGCGGCCATGTTGGAGGAATGAACAATAGATACCAAAAATCCTTTGTTAAAGTTCCTCCATGCAAGATGGCCGCTGTGACGTATAGTGAAAACGAAGAATAACTTAAAACATGAATCATGATAACATTTTTTTAAATGGTTTTTAGTCTGTGAAATCGAGGGACGGACGTACAAAGATGGCGCGGAAATCCCCACTGACTGCAACAGCTGGTAAGTCGAGTTTTTAGTCTTGCGAGACCAAATGTATTCTTACTTGACTTGTTTCAAGAAGCCTGTTTATCAGATWGTTAGGTAAGGAAATTCCAAAAAATCAAACTGTGACTTGTTTTTATTTTTAGTGTCTGTGCTTGCGGTAATTGGGTTTGTACAGCCTTGGATTGTGGTGGTACGTAACTTGTATTTTAAGTCATTCAATAATTATGTAATATTGCATACTCCTTATTTTATAGAAAATGGTTTGCACAACAACGAAGAGAAGGATGTATTAGTTTTAGATGGAAAAGAAGCTAAGAAAAAGCTCTCGAAAGAAGTTGCAAAACAAGAGGATGGAGTAAAAGGGATGGTGAAGAACCCGTCTTGAAGTTAAAACAACTATGCAGCTTCAACTTGTGCATATTTTGGTAGCAGTAAAAACTCAGTTTTCCAGGACTCTATGAACTAAGAATAGAAAGGAGTCTACAAAAACTAGTCTAGTAAACCGCAAGTGCAATTCACATGAATATCATTTTACGGCGCTATTTAGGTGGATTTTTTTTCACATCAACTAATTCAACTAAACTGAAGATAACTGCTTTTTTATTCCCAACACCATTAATAGATTATGAATGTCCACTGATTTGRTCGATAATAACATGAGCCTGTAGTCCTTGTGATCAGCGATCCATGATAGTCTCATCATCAAGCTAAAAACCATAAATGTATTGTTATCGTAAAATTAAAACTTGTTTATGATTGCACTTATACTATTATAAATTGTTCCCGTTYTTTTCTCGGTCATAATGCACTTACTGTATCAAACGCATAGACATAATCTGCGAATGCCTTCCCCACGGCGTGATTGTAGCAATGCCTCGACCCTGGAAGAGTCATGAGTTTCTCTTCTACTTGATCRTCTCGACCAGAATAGCACTCTCCGTAGTAGTGAAGACCAAAGTATATCTTGCCCATGTCRTAGACAATATGAGCACATTGTTCTACAGTAAAGTGGATGTCATGCCAGTCGATTTGACCTCGGAAAGAAACTGAATATGTACTTGGAAAAGCTCCTCGCTGAAAACAGCCAATGCTGTGATACTCAGGAAGAGGATCTGTTACAGCAAGCAAGCATATAGAATTAACTTATCACATATCATACAATATGAAA